TTTCTAAAAAGCGTTTAGTCCACTGCAAAATATGAAACTATTTAAAAGTATTGCTTGTGCAATTAAAGAAATATTTTCCTATAAAATTAACTAAAATAGGCAAACTAGTAATTAACTTTGGTATCATAATGCAAACAAATTTAATATCAAATATTAAATTTCATTCATAATTTGCAAGTATGCTTTAACTTTCTAAAATGATCGAACTGATGAATATGAAGAAACTAAAGATATAAATCGAGATGTAAGCTGCACTTTTCATTAATTGCACTTTGAGCTTTTCCTTTATTCCTTTTAAATCTTACAACATTATAAATCCTCTAAATCCTTAATCCTTACATCTCAAATCCTCCGATATTTAAAACTTTTTATAATCCTTTGTAATCATGCTCGCGACTAAATTTCTGTCTGTTGCTGTTGCTATTATAGCCATTTTCACGATAAATGCGGACGCAAAGTTATGCAGTACAAATGCGGATCTTAATATCCGCGGACAACCATCTCTAAATGCCAAGATTCTTCGTGTTGCTCATAAAGGTTCTAATGTCGATGTTATTTGCCAAACTACTGGCGACACTGTTGACGGTAAAAACACTTGGGACAAGTTAGCAGATGGCACCTATTGTTTTGATGCTTACGTAAATGGTGCTGCTGGTGTTCCACGCTGCGATAGTCCTCCTCCAGCTAATCCACCTCCGGCTAATCCACCTCCTGCCCCAGCTAATAATGGTAAAATTAATGATGAAGGTTTAAACCTTATAAAAGAGTTTGAAGATTTTAGGCCTAATTTTTATGGTGATCCAGCAAAGGTAAGTTTACCTTATTTCTATTTATATTACTGATTGTTAGGCTTACAATTAATAAAATTTAATTAATAAAATATTGAATTTGTTACAATTTCAGGGTATTAAGACTATAGGTTATGGTCATGCTTGCCATGCTGATCCAAATAAATGTAATAATATTCACGCTCCAATCACTCCTGCACAAGGAGAAGCTTTACTTAAGAATGATTTGATTTATAAAGAGGATTGCGTTAAAAGACTTACCACTGCTAATATCAATTCAAACCAATTCTCTGCTTTAGTTTGTTTTACATTTAATCTTGGATGTGGTGGCTATGAAACTTCTTCTATACGTAAAAAACTTAATGCTGGTGATATAAAAGGTGCTGCTAATGATTTTGCTTTATTCAATAAAGCTGGAAAAACAG